GGAATTGGCCTTTGGCCAGGGATATCCCAGAGGTATGCACACGACTCTAACATTATCCTCACTAGATTACGAGCCCTAGATTCTAAACATACTCGGCTGATTCTGTTCATCGATAAGCTAACTTTTACTGTCACCTTCAAGCAAAGTATGCGCAAATCAGACTGCTGTCTCAGTGGCTAGAAGCCTGCATTGATCTTTAACTGGTTTATGAATTCTTTATTCTTACATAAAACTGGACCCTAAGGTCACAGTGGCATGCACCATTCTCTGCTCCGCCATCAGCAGAACCTTGTTTCCTCCAATGGGAGATAAATTACGTCTTAACCTCTGGGTTTTGTTTTGGGATCAGTAGCCATTATGGGCAAGCTCTCTTAGATTTGGGGCTCCCCCAGGACACAAACCCTCCCAGACTTTCCCTATGCATTTCTCCTTTTGGCTTGTTCCAGTTTGTCCTTATTCTGAAACTGTAATTATAAGTATTATGCTGTCTTAGAGTTCTGTGTGTTGTAATGAATTATAAAACCTGAAGGATTAGTGGGAATTGCCTCATTTGTAGCTAGCTATTTAAAAGTACAGGTAGCCTACAGACCCCTAATGAAGGGGAAACAATTTTTTTAAAGAGATTTTTGCTATAGGGGTCACATACTCACAGGAAGACAGAAAGAGAGAAATCACCTCCCCAAGGGGGGAATGGCCATGCCACAATCCTTTCTCTATTTTCCTCTAAGGATTGGCCACTCGTGTATATGTACCTGGTGTGAGTTTCAGGCTGCCCAGTCTGGGACTCAAAATGCAGTCAGCCATATGGGAATCTAGCACCTTAACTATTATGTCATTCCTGGCCCCATGTCCCCCAAATTTGAAGCTGATACCTGAAGTAAGAGAAGTGTTTTAGAGGATTCTATCTATAACCTATGAAGTTTAGCTCTATTCTAGTAGTTGGTGTCAGAAGTCAATACAACATGTGTAGTAATTTTTAGGATGCTGGATATTATGAAAGCTATATTGTTACTCGTCTTTTGCCTTGTAACTTTGCAATACCCTCTCACTATGACTATGGAATCCACCATGTGACTTGATTTGACGACTAGAATAAATAGAAAGTAAGAATGGGCTACTTCTTGGCTTGAGCTGCTAGAGGTCTTGTGTGTTTCTTATACTCCTGTGCTTCTGGTGTTGTCATTATAGGGACATGGAAAAGTTAGCTCACTCATCCCAGGATGAAGTCTCAGCTAGCCTCTGAGCTGCTCCACTGATGGAATGAGTACAGTCAATCTTAGTCATGCCAAGCCTAGATCACCTGACTCTCATCCAGTCTCACAGATGTACAGGGTGAAGGTGACTATTAGGGTGGTTGTTATTCAGTAAAAGTTAGTTGTTAGAGTAGTGGGGGAAAAAAAAAGATAGTGAAAACCCATATTGGGCAAAGTTAGGAGAAAAGAGGGAAGGGAATTGAGACAGGAGAAATTTCTTTGAAAAAAGTTATGCCATTGGGAACCAGCAGTTAGCATGATGGCTATGTCGCTGGACTCCCACGTAGTCGACCGCGGTTCGTGTCCTGGACCCGGTGGCTTAAAACTCATGCCGGGCACGTGTGCGTGCGTGCCCAAGATCCCGAGAGGAGAATGGAGGAGAAGGGATTGCGGCGTGACCATCCCCCCTGGGGGGTGATTTCTCGCTTTCTGTCTCTATCTCTTTCTGTCTGTCTGGCGAGCTCACGCGCCCTACAGTGAAAATCTCTCATGGGCTACTTCTTGGCTTGAGCTGCTAGAGGTCTTGTGTGTTTCTTATACTCCTGTGCTTCTGGTGTTGTCATTATAGGGACATGGAAAAGTTAGCTCACTCATCCCAGGATGAAGTCTCAGCTAGCCTCTGAGCTGCTCCACTGATGGAATGAGTACAGTCAATCTTAGTCATGCCAAGCCTAGATCACCTGACTCTCATCCAGTCTCACAGATGTACAGGGTGAAGGTGACTATTAGGGTGGTTGTTATTCAGTAAAAGTTAGTTGTTAGAGTAGTGGGGGAAAAAAAAAGATAGTGAAAACCCATATTGGGCAAAGTTAGGAGAAAAGAGGGAAGGGAATTGAGACAGGAGAAATTTCTTTGAAAAAAGTTATGCCATTGGGAACCAGCAGTTAGCATGATGGCTATGTCGCTGGACTCCCACGTAGTCGACCGCGGTTCGTGTCCTGGACCCGGTGGCTTAAAACTCATGCCGGGCACGTGTGCGTGCGTGCCCAAGATCCCGAGAGGAGAATGGAGGAGAAGGGATTGCGGCGTGACCATCCCCCCTGGGGGGTGATTTCTCGCTTTCTGTCTCTATCTCTTTCTGTCTGTCTGGCGAGCTCACGCGCCCTACAGTGAAAATCTCTCAAAAAAAAAAAAAGTTATGCCATTGAACTAGGCTTGAAATGTCCCACTGCTTATCGTCCTGATGTTTTATAGTCTCTTGAAATATATTTTTCTCTAGTTTTCAGGCCAGTCTCCCAGGGGACTATGGCTATGGAGGACAGAAAAGTGGCAACACCCAGGAACAGAGAGAGAATTTGGGTGTGAGTGGGGTTGATGGGAAGATAAATGGGTTTGGTTTAACTATGAAGTTTAGTTCTATTATAGTAGTTGGTGTTGGAAGTAGGTTGGTAGGGTTAAATTTAAGGGCTTCGAGAGCACCAAAATGGAGTTTTTTTAGCTGGGAGCTCAGGCCTTTGTTGGAGATCTAGATCTGGGCATCTTCAAGAACATAGTAACCGGAATCTGAGACTGGATCCGCACTGTAAAGCCACTGCAAAACAGCTGGAAGCAGTGGTGGTAACCAACGCTTGGTTATTCCATGGAAAATGTTTCAGTCAGTATAGGTGATTCCTGCTTGTTGATCAATTTAAAACAAAAACACAATTACTATTTTTGTTTAACACAACAGAGATGATAAATACCTTTGGTCAGCAAGCAGGTGTCCTGTAGCACTAAACATAGACTAGGTGTCCTAGGACACCTATAGACTAGGTGTCCCAGGCATTAGGAAATAACGCCAAACAGGAGCAGATGGGAGAGGGTGCCTTTCATTGGAATAGTTGGTAGAACCAGGTGGGACTGAATGGGAAAATAGTAAGCAGGGGTTCTGTGAGGCAAGATTTAAAGTGGGGGCCAGCAGGTGGTGTGGTGGTTAAGGAGCTGGACTCCTACATGACTAACCAGGGTTTGAGTCCTGAATTGGACAACTTGCTTTCTCACTTTCTCTTCCTCTCTCTGGTGAGTGCGGGTGCCCCATTGCAAATGAAAAAAAAATTAAATAAGTGATTCTTTCTTTGAAAAGTTAAAGTGAAGGAGGAAAGGTGAAGAAAGTGCCAAAGGGGAAAGGACTGTGGTGGAACTCCACTTAGCGACCAGAGGAGAAAATAGAGGTGTTGTATTCAAGGAAGGTGGGTTAAGAAGAGGGAAGAGGAGGTCAATCAGAAAGGCCAGTCAGGACAAAGAAGGAAAAGAGCGAAGGAGCAGAACAGAGGGAGGCAGCAAGGAACGCTGGATGCTCAGTTTATAAAGGGAAGATGTAGAACGAAGGGGTGGAAACGGGAGAAAGAATGGCGTCTGGGTGGGTAAGGGCTGGACAGGTGTTCAGAAAGCGGCGGCATCTCCAAGGCACCTCCATACGCAATCTGCTCATGGGCTCCTGGAGCTGGGGAAGGGCGCCCTTCGGGAGAAGGCTTTAGCCTGAATTTGAACCAACTCCGGGGGTCCGGAGGCGGAGGAGAGGCTAGCGCGAGGGGGATGGGAGCACAGCCCCGGCCGCGACCCTCGCGTCTGCACCGGAGCTCAGCCCCGGCTGCTATACGCGCGTCTCCGCGGGAGCTCAGCGGTCGCGCGTCTCTAACCGAGGGCGGCCCGGGGATACCCTGGCCGGGTGTGCGTGTGTCCGGGAGGATGCAAAGAGAGACCGCTGAGGAATTAGTGCCGGGAGAGGCTGGCATCTGCCTAGGGACATGGAGGGGCAGAGCGGCACTGACGCCGCGGGGA